GCTGTCCACAGCTGTGTTTGTGTGTGTGTGTGTGTGTGTATACTCACCTAGTTGTGCTTGAGGGGGTTGAGCTTTCGCTCTTTGGTTCCGCCTCTCAGCCGTCAATCTACTGATGTACAGATTCATGAGCTTCTCGAGCTCCATCATATCTACATTTGAAACTGTGTATGGAGTCAGCCTCCACCACATCACTTCCTAGTGCATTCTATTTACTAACTACTCTGACACTGAAAAAGTTCTTTCTAATTACTCTGTGGCTCATTTAGGTACTCAGCTTCCATGTGTATGCCTGAGTGAGTGTGTGAAAGTGTGAGAATACTCACCTAGCTGTACTCACCTAGTCGTCGCTGACCTAGTTGTGCTTGCTGGGTTGAACATCCGCTCTTCAGCTCCGCCATTCGACCACCATTAGTTCAGTGCAGTGACTCTGAACTCATTTTTCTTATCGAATGTACATTTAAAGCTGTAACGAATTGGCTTTGATAACTTCTTCATCTAGACCGTTCCACTTATTTACGACTCTTAGACTGAACAACGTTCTTTCTAATATTTCTGTGACTCATTTGTGTGTGTGTGTGTGTGTGTGTGTGTGTGTGTGTGTGTGTGTGTGTGTGTGTGTGCGTGTGTGCGTGAGTGCGGATGTGCATACATGTGTGCATTCGTGTTGGTATATACATTATGCCCTTGACTACAATACGCCAATTAGCATGACTATACATTTATAACAAGCTGATATCAGTGACATTATATTATATATATATATATATATATATATATATATATATATATATATATATATATATATATATATATATATATATATATATATATATATATATATATAAACCGATATTTGTTGTAGCTGGTTGTTGTGTTATTAGCGCAAACTTCCTGAATATTGCGGCAGATTATGAACCTTATAAACTAGCTTCATTTGTTTCGCTTTCACTAAGCATCGAACATTAGGCTCTTTCTTGCATAAAAGATGCAACATTGATGACCAACTTTCGTCTATATTAATATACCGAACATTTAGCAGAGAGCCGAGGTAACTTGTGTGGCTTTAACCTACAAGTTTGGAAAATAAACAAAGACCTTTACCAACTCTCTGTGTCTGTATTTGTAAATCTAATATGAATTCACCTGTTACATAAACATTTATACTTAACATGGAAGTTCTGGTATAGTGTATTAACCCGGTTACTAGAGTTAGATGGGAAAGTTTAACATAGAAATCGCAAGTTAAATTATATTTATTTAACCTTGAGGTGTCTTGCTGGCGCATTTAACACTTGCAAATCAAGTTTAGTCAACATTTACCAGAGGGTCATGTGTATGTTGTTTTAGTTTAAGCTGCTCGGAACAAGTTCCAAGTAGCACGGGCTATGGTGACCCCGTAACTTACCTGGCACAGGAACGGGGCAAGTAGCACGGGTTATGGTGAGCCCGTAGTGGACTTACCTGGCACGGGAGCGGTGCCGTCACGTGTAGGTTACCTCTTATTACAATGGTAATATATCGCATTACACACAGAAATCACAATAGCGTGATGCATCAAATGAACAAAATGCTCTCTGCTCTCGGACGTAGGTTAGAACCCCCGTCACGGCCCTTGTGCATTTGTTCATTTAATATATCGCATATTTCCTGACTAATGAATATCATTACGTAGACGCCATCTGGAGCAGCAAGTGTTGGCGGGCCTGCCGCTGGCCTGGTGACACAGTAACTGCCATCAGGTCTTATTAACCTTGTGATTGTAGTATTGTGTAAGGGGGCGGGCAGTGGCGTCCATGGTAGCCACCTGTGAACACCACCCACTGACCTGGTGACGGGGTACCGTGCGGGGGGACCACCGTACCCACCTGTGAGTACCATCCAGGTGCTCACATCTCCATACAGCCTCCTCCCTGCCCCCCACACCCCTCTCTCTGCCCCCCACACACCTCTCTCTCTGCCCCCCACACACCCCCTCCCAGCCCCCCCCCCCCACAGCTAACTGCGACACACATGACCCTTCAGAACACCTCCCTACACTACCGACGCAGCTGTGAGGTTGGGGAGGTTGGTGGTGTTGGGGGTTCTGGGCCTGCACAGCAAGCACGGGAGACGCGTGTAGCCACAACTCAATTGATCTTGAATGTCTTCCCCCCCGTCACATGAACACTCCACACCACGTCCACTCTAGGAAAAGCTTGGTCACTGCACACCTCTATCGTCGAACTCCACTCTAAGATTAATTGTTAGTAAACGTATTAAACACTCCGGTTAATTGTTATTATGTTGGGAGTATATAATTGTTAGTATGTTATATTCCACCGCAACCTCAGGTGTGGCAGCATGTATAGTGTAGTAGTACATGTCCAAAACATGGACTGTTGCTGTACGTAATGCTGTCATACGTTTAGACTGTCATACGTTTACACTGTCATACGTTTACACTGTCATACGTTTACACCGTCATACGTTTACACCGTCATACGTTTACACTGTCATAGTCTATAATGTCATAAGTCTACACTGTTACTAGAACCTACAAACACGCACTGGAGTCTATGAGGGAGCATTGGAAACTTAAATATATGAGAGCACTGGAGACACCAGGTGGGCACCAGAGCTTACAGGGGAGTACTAGAACCTTCAAAGGACTAAATAAGCCTACTGGGGGAATCAGCCACAGCACACGTGGCATCCCACACCAGCCTGCATGATCACATCATGCCAGAGGTGCTCATGTTAACGCAATTCCTGCGTCACGTCCTCCATCCTACCCCGTGACTCAATCCTGGCCAACCAGCGCCGGTGACGACCCCCACCATGCACCAGTCCCTCACCCCTCCTCCGACACCCTCACTCCTCTCTCTCTTCTCCCTCTCTCCTTTCTCCTCCTACTCTCCCCTCTACATACACATACTTGAGGTCTTCAGCACTCTCACACACTGAGAACTGATATACGAACACGCTGTGTTTACCATTTGTGTTCAGTGTGGTTACCATTGAACTGAGGACGTAAATTCCCAGACTAGCATGAGGCCTTGTGCAGCCCTAGGAACCATTCTCGGGGTAGACCTCATACTAAGTACCGCCGGACGCACATATTTACGGGGGTTATGGGTAAAGCTGGCATAAGACCACACTTCAAGACTACAAGGTGTATAATGCTAGTCCAAACGAGGCAGCAGCGTCCACACATTAAGTGCAGAAGGAAATTATTTGCAACATGTCTGGTACCAAAATTAAGAGATCTGGGATATGAGGAAAAACTAAGGAAACTGAATATGCATGGCTAAAAATAGACAAAACTAGGAAGATAAAACTGATCACAACATACAAGGTGATCAAGACATGGAACCAAGAGAGTAGAGAAGGGATCACAACGTACAAGATTATCAAAGAACTGGAATTAGAGCAAACATGTTCACAGCATACACGATGATCAAGACATGGAACTAGGACAGACATGATTACAACTTTTAAGATGATCAGACAAAAAAAAACTTTACAAGGACAAAAAAATAGCATAGGTGAACAAATCCACAAGGGCCGTGATGAGGGTTCGAACCTACGTCCGAGAGGATCCCAGACGCTGCCTTAATCGACATGGTACATCACACTATTGTGATTTCTGTGTGTAGTATAGGTGGAAACAGAACAAGATGACACAAAAATAAATACAATTATAATAGACGACTCAATGATCTAGAAGAGTTATAACAAAACACGGAGGGAGTTATCAGGAGACAATGCCAAACCATTACGACTATATAGCACTGGGAAGGGGTAAATAAAATAAAAGAAACAGAGGAAGGTCGCGGCCATTGAACCAGAAAGTAATTATCAAAAGAAGGCACCAAGCCGGGAAGGCTATGTAGCACCAATTGACCCAGAAAACCGATAGCTAAACTGCAGAACCCGGGAACTGCTCAGACACATATTAGAGATGAGAATAAAAACCCCGGGAATGTTCATGGCGGCGTTACCGTCATCCCTCAACACGTTGTAATTTGCATCATAGCGGCCATTAATACTCTCATCAGTATTCCAGCCACGAGTTGTTCCCGGCAAGAAGGATCGTTGAAAGTTTGGAGGTGGAAGGGGAGGTTAGGCCTGAAAATGGCCCTGCTTTGGTGTCGGGGAATTTTTTAGGCTTATGAGACAGGGATCGTAGGGTGTTGCGGTTGACTCACTGCGAAGAGGTTTTGTACGTCTGTGAGGGAGTGAATTAGTGTGAATATGCGCATGGTCGGTCCTTCCGTCCCTCTCCAACAGTTCGAGAAAAGGTGTTGTCGAGATCTGTTCGTCCCGCCTTCATTATAAACCTGATGGTAATAATTTGCTTCTGGTTGAGGCCTATCCAACTCCTACAATGTATCTATTCTTCCTCCTCATTTTTATTCATCATTCTCTCCCTTTTTTATAATTATTTTCATATCTAATCTCGTGCCAGTTCAGTTGACCAGCCAGGTACAGCTGCGTCGCCATCGTTCATGACAAAATAATCCGTTGGTAATGTGCCCATCCTCCAGCATGTCTGTGTACTTTCTTCCAGCATAATTCCCATCTTCAAGCGTGAATGAAACTCGGGTTTCGAGCATGAACGGATTTCTGGCTGACATGGTACATCTCTTTGACACGTCAGGTCCTCCCTAAGACACGCGAAGCCCGCCCACCTCCCTAATTGGTGTCAGCGGCAAATGTTATACTGGGGTGGGAGGGAGGGGGAGGGGAAGCTTACATTAAGCCTCCGTCAGCTGATAACAGGTTTTACGAGTGATATACAAGTTCTTAGATTATATAAAACGGAAGTATTAGCGTGTGATACATTTCATATCAGGGTTTATGGAGTGCCAGGGAGCTGTGTCGTGGGGTATATATTTTCTGTGGCTAAAAACTGAAAGGGGTGGTGGGGAATTTTGTGAACAGCAGTATGACATAATTGATAATATTGTGGTATGATCCTCGCTACTGTTATACTCAACTTGCCTCTTTTTTTCGCACAGGGAGGGTACGGCACGATGGGGAGCAGTTCGCAGTACTGTCTCCGCTGGAACAACCACCGCAATAACCTGCTGGCCGCCTTCGACCAGCTGTTGCATGTTGAGGCCTTCACCGACGTCACCCTGGCTTGCGAGGAGGGCGTCACACTTCATGCCCACCGGCTCGTCCTCGCCGCATGCTCCTCATACTTCCAGGCGCTCTTCGTTAACGCCCGCACTGCCCACCACCCCATCGTGGTGCTTAAGGACGTGCGAGCGTGTGACATGCGGGCATTGCTCGAATATATGTACAGAGGCGAAGTCAACGTCGAGCATGACCACCTTCAAAGTCTCTTGAGAGTCGCTGAAAGCCTTAAAGTCAAAGGTTTGGTGGAGGAATTGGGCAACGAAACAACCGGCCGCCACCCACCCTCCCCGCACGAAGCCGCCCGAACGCCCACCACTCCAGTAGACACCCGCCTTCACCCAGACCTCCACCGTTCTCGAGAGCCACCCAGTTCCACTGCGCCGCCTTCTTCAGCCTCCGCCCTCGACAAAGTCTGTCTCTCTTCCCCCACACCCCCACTCTACCCTCTACCCCCACCAGGTCTGCCTCCACACCGCGCACAACATCGACAAGACCACCGCCCAGACCTCAGAGACCACCGCCCAGACCACAGGGACCACAGAGAACTCAGAGACGTTCGAGAACTAGATCTTCGCGAAAGCAGAGACCTCCGCGAAATAAGGGAACAAATACGCGACCATTTGCGAGACCACCGGGAGAGCCACGAGGCCAGAGATACCCACACTCCGGGGAGTCTGGACTCCGAGCCTCGCCAACCCCTCTCTTTAGTGTCTCATCTGCCTCCGCCATGCCCAGACTCTCCACCACACAAACGCAAGCGGCCGCCCATGATGGGCGACCCCATGCTCTCACCGACGCCCATTCTACGCACTGCACTGGGACACACCCATGGGTTCCCTGGACCTGATATGAGCTCGCTGGTGTCTTTGGCCTCCTCTATGATGCCCCTACCAGGCCTCCTTAGCTCACATGTGCCTCACCTCCTGCCCCATGACCATCGCGATCACATCGAGGTAAGCCCTAACTCTACCATAATGTAAACTTCACAATATATATACATAATATATATAATATATTGCTTTTCGTGCCACAATTTTTGTAATCTCTCGATGCCTTTGTAGTGTTGTAATTGTTGTTGTTGTGGGTGTCCCACAGTATTGCATTTATAATTATCTTGTAATTATTGCAGACTCAGTATGGTGTAAGTACAAAGAAGGAACTCCACGATGATGAGTCGCGAAGCTTCTCCGACATATCCCGAGAGGACGAGCAAGACAAGATCAAGCTAGAGTCGGTAAGTGCCGTGGGACGAGAAGGAATTGGTGAATAGATAGGTGGTGGTGAGTGGTGTAAAAATGGAGGACGAGACAGAAGTTGATAATATGAAGAGCATGGATACCTGGACGAAGTGGGTGAAAGGAATGTGAATGAAAAAATGGGGGAGAGAGAGAGACTTGAGATACCCCACACACCTGACTAGATTTGTGTTACCATATAACTGTTGAACTATCTCAGTTCTCAGTTATGGTATAATTTTTTTTTAATTTATTCAAAATGTCAAGAGTTATGGTTGAGACTTGATAGTACTGTACTGTATCACAGATGCAAGCAGGGGGAAGTGAATGTTATACATTCATATATATACAGTACCTACATAGCATAGTAAAGGTTCGTATATGTATTTTCCTGTACATGCATGTATGCGTCAATAAATTTATTGCAAATTAAAAGATATGCATTTAATATAGTAAATGCCTGTTAGGTACGTGTCATTTATTCGTTACGTCATGAGGTCGTGACAAAATAATTGAGCCTGAAGAATAAGCATAATGAATTAACGGGCGAATAACAATTGCTGGATAAGAAACTCCTGTAAGTACCACACACAGAATGAACTAATACTAAAACTTTTTTCCACCACCAGCTTGCCAATGGGCCTCTGCTGCCTGAGTTCAACCCATACCACTTAGATCCAAATGGTTCTTCACACTACAGCAACTTCGTCAGTTATGTTCCAACCCCGAAGCCTGAGTGGAAGAGATACAAGCAATACACAAAAGCTGATCTCATGGATGCAATTGAGGCTGTAAAAAATGGCATGACAGCTTTACAAGTGAGTTTCATTTACAAGTTAGAGGGAGGAAAATAAGAGAGAATGAATAAGTATATATGGATGAGATATATTTATATATATTATATAAATATATGTATATTTTATATAGTATATATATGTATATATTTTTATATATACATATAATATATATATATATATATATATATATATATATATATATATATATATATACACACTATATGTGTGTATATTTTGTACCCTCACCTATATACATACACACATATACCTATATACCCACTAAATCATTTCCCACTAAATATGATTAAATGTGTTATACATATGTATTTTGTATTGTATTTGATAAGATCTAATATGCATATCAGTAACTGTTCTTTTTGACAAAATTATAAATATATAATTTTGGATTTGGGCCAATGAGGAATGATTATTGTGTCTTGAACAAAGAACTTGTTACTTACCCAGAGTAAGTCAGCACTTTGTCCAGACTGATGGCCAATGTGCATTATTGTGTGTTCTTAGCTATTCTGTGTTGGTAAAGTTAAAAAAAAAGAGAAAAGTTGTAATGAAATCTAATTGCTAAAACATTTGCAGGCTTCTCGCAAGTACAAGGTCCCCTCTCGAACACTTTATGATAAAATTAAGAAGATGGGCATCAGCACTTTACCTCGCCGTCTACCAAGCAAGAAACCTTCCCCATCTAATACTGACCTTGATGGAGGAGCTTCTGATCCCCATGTCCCACAGGAAACAACAGAGACATCCTCACAGGACAGAGATTCTCATCAAGACCATGAAAAGCGGCTAAGTAAAAGTCTCCCAAGTGATGAAGATGATCACTCAACATCTGGAGCTCATATAGTAGACGACGAAGATGAATCTTTAGTTTCAACACCGGCTGTAGGATCTTTCTCCCTTGTTGGTCGCAAGATGTATGAAAATGGAAATGGAGGAGAACCTTCAGCGACGCCCCTTGACCTGACAGATACGGACTCTCTGTTACTGAAGAGACCAGAAATAGAGGAACGTGCTTAATGAAGTTAAATAGCATAAAACTTCATATCAGGTCCAAGTGACCTGACTTAAGTCAGGTCAACATACTCTGGTGGATTTCACCCTTATGGACTGTGTCACAGTTTAGTTGGCCAAGTTCTCAAGGTTGAACCACTGTCTGTACTCAGGTTATCTGGAGTCGTCTCAGCAACCAGTCAAAGTCTTGGCAATGGGTCCAACATTAGAATGGCCCTGGGAAAGAGGCAGACCTCCTGCTAGGGTTGTGATCTCCCAGCTCCACAGTTGAAGGTGGTTTCCAATGTAGGGTATTATTTATTAATTTTACTATTATAAAAGCATTTCTGATATCAGGAAAGACTGCTTTTTGGTAGCCATCACAATTTGGAAACAATTTAGTTCCTTTCATTCCAAATATGCCTACTTGTGTATTATGACTGTACCAATAGTTCTGAGCCACATACAGGTTCATCAGCAGTGGACATGCTCTATAGGCTCGACTTTGCTCAGGGTATTCCTGCCTTTGCTTTGAACAGCTTATGTTGTGGTATAGGTTGTGAACAAAATACAAAATGCATTTTGTAAGCAACATACTGCAGTGTGAATGCCCAAAATACTCGATCCATCTTTTTGAAAGAAAATCCCACTAAATATGATTAAATGTGCTAAATAATTTATTATGAAAAGTTGTCTACCTACAAAACAAATTATAAGTGCACAACAAAAAATCTATTTAGCGAGTCTGAGCAGGAGTATCTACATATTACTGTGCCTGTGAGTAACTTCTGCTGAATGATTAGCAGTATAACTTTAGGTGCATAAAGGTGGCAGTTCAGCAGGAGCTTAGGGAAATGTGCATTGATTTGATAATCAACTACTGTACGTTTGTTAGATATCAAATTGTAATTTCAAATATTAGCTGATTTTATTTATTACTACTAAACATGCACATTGTTTTAATTCTAATGTAAATAAAATAAGATACAAGTTTATTGTCGAATACATACCTGTTTCTTGCCACTTGAAGTTCCCTTTTCATTACATGGTAATCAAAATTGCCCTAGTGTATATTAAATTTTCCACAAACTTGTAAATGTATCCGTAGTTATAAGATTGCAATTTTTGCTCTTGATGTATACTGAAATACCTCACCTAAACCAAGGACAATTGTATACGACCCACATTTTTAAAATTAATTACGCTAGAAAAGTATACGACCAGAATTATATATCTATATATGTTCTTAATTAGCTACTGTCTTAATGAATGCCTAGTTTTAGTGTGAAACAGTTATGTGAGTTAAATTTTTTGTTATATTTTAGTGTATATGATATTATTATAAGTACTGTATATAAATTATGCGAGTATACGAGTGGTAAGAAACTGCTATGCCTTTTTCACCACAAAGACTTGAATAGTTGTTAAAAAGCTTCATTCTGACATGACATGGATCAGTCTACAAGAATGCACTAAATTTATTCAGAAATTAATGATCTGTGTGAATCATTAAACAGAAATTGTAAATGATGTGAAAACTGAGAGGTTTCTGTGATCGTAGCAAGCAGTGTGATGCTAAGAGCTTAGCAGCCATGGTCCAAGACAGTCATGTGCATGTCTTCCCTTTTCCTTTGGGGCTTAACAGAGGAAGTAAAAGAAGATGAAGGAAGTGTATGGCATGATTACAAAAGATTGAAAATGACAAGTGTTGATAACTATCAGCTGAAATCTGTTGAGGTTAAATAAAAATTGTGTTCATAAAGCACAACATGTTTAAATTCATGATAGTTTAATACCTTGCATTGCTGCAAAGCTTTACTATTTTATTATTATATGAGAGTACATGTACTGTATATCTAAGGCTGATCTACTGTGGAGGAAGGAGTACATCGATCTAGAATTAAGAATTTGATCATATTGTGTTTTTTATTTTGTGGTTTTGATAAGCAAAATAGCACAAAAGTCATGAATTCTAAAAGCTGGTGTTTTTTGCACCAAAAGACCAATTAAAACACACTTTGGACATTACTTGCCTTGCCAATGCTGCATTAAATACACAAACATGCAAACAGGTAGTCACATACACACACACACACGATAAAGAGTGCTGGGTAGACGGGACACCACGAGCGTAGCTCTCATTCTGTAACTACACTGAAGTAATTACACACACACACACACAACTGGCAGATGAGTAAATTTTACATCACCTACAAATGTAAAATTATTTTGAAAACATGCAACTGATAACACAAATATCCTGTAAACTCATTCAAATTGCACTGGGTTTCGCTTTGTAGTGTTAAGACAAATTAAAAAGCATTCGGCTATTTTATCAGCATATGGTCGATTTCATAATATGAATATCTTTGTTTCTTAATAGGAGAGAGAGAGTGGGAGAGGGAGAGAGGAGAGAGGGAGAAAGAGAGAGCAAACCTTCAACACAGAGCCACACATAGGAAAGCTCATTATGTGTCGTCACTGACGTACCGTACCATCTCTACCATTCTAGTCTTTTTCTGCGCCTCTTCTTTAGCACGTGTGTGCTCAGACCAGTGTCCTATTCCCTGCTGTTTCTTTCTCTTGGTCTTCTAGGCAATTTTACTCCATATAGCGTTAACTGATTTAGTAAAAGAGAAATTTTGTGTTATTCTTAGCAAGTCAAACTTTATTAAGAATGAAAAACAAGTCAAAAGTCACTGTCCAATTATGATTCCATAAACAGTACATATTATGTGTAGAAAATTATTATATAGCATTATCAAGATAATGTGGCTATAAGATTTTTTATTTTGTTAATCATTATTTATACACAACAATGAGTGACACTGCTCAAGTTTAGATAAACAAACAATAAAACGACACAGGAAAATATGGCTGTTTTATCTTGTTCTCTTTACTTTATGGGTTTAGTGCATATTGTTCTCTTCAAGTAAAAACATTCAAATATTAGAAAAAGTTGTAGGTATGATAGCATTCAAATTTCTTGATTAAATTTAATTTGACATTACATTTTGATGCAGAGTACCTGAATCATCTCTTAAGTCATGAAATATATTTCATTATAATTTCAAATTCCATACTTTTGCTATCTTCACAACAGGGTCTTATTTTTAAGGCATATCATTAGATACCATAAATTAATTTGTATTGGTTAATTACAGTGTCTTCAGACTACCCAGAAGAAAGAAGCTTTAATGCTTGTAATAAGACTTGAGTTTATTTCAGTATCTATGGACACCCAAGATTTCAGTTGTGACTACGTATAAACTTTATATGCTTTCGGTAATTATTTGCTCATTTACAAGCCATTTATGAAACTAGTGCAACCCATACAGGTTCAGGCAGTGTGTGAAGCAAATGCAGACAATTCATTACACACACACACACTGTATAGGTAGATATATAAATAATTATTTTGTGTTTTATCATATAGCCAGAGTTACTTAACGAGTTGAATTGCCTTTAGATAATTTTATTAATTTTTTATATGAAATGAAAAATACATTCAGACGATGAGTCTAAATATATATACCGTATTTATTTTAATATGCAAGATACGCAAAAATTTGAATTTGACCCTAAACAAAATTTGCCGCCTGTCATAACTGAATATGCCTAGAAATTTTTAAATTTGCCTAATAAACAAAAACACTATATTAGGCAAAATAGACCTGCATACTGTGCATAGTCTATTTTGCCTAATATACAATGTTTTGCAAGTGTCGTTTTGCCTCTTATATATGACACACACACACACACACACACACATATATATATATATATATATATATATATATATATATATATATATATATATATATATATATATATATATATATATATAAATATGGTATTATGACACTGTATTAGAGCCAACTACACTAGTTGGCACTCAAGATACAATGAGTCAACGGCATCATTAAGCAGAACTTAGGCCAGTGTTCAGCCATGTAATCTATTATACCAGATCTCTACTGCATTTGTTGGTCGACTGGGTGGAATTGCACAATGTCCATAGAGAACTTGCAGACAACAGGCATGGGACTATACTTGCATATCCACCTAGGAAGCCACATACATCACCCTCTTTGTCAGCCAAGAAAGAGCCATGACCACACTCAGAGAAAGAGAAGAGTCCAACAAGTGCAGGGAAAATAGATTACAGTACCTTTGGTCCACAAGGAGAGTATGCAAAGAGATTTCTTAACAAACTTGGTTTCAGGCTCAACGAAACAACAAGAGATCCTAGAGCAGCGACCTTCCTTTTCCAGCACCTCAGTGTGGCGATACAGACAGGAACACCCACTGCATCCTCGGTGCCAAGATCAAATGAATAACCTGTTGTGTCTGGATAAATGAGTCATCATCCTGAAAACCTTGAGGGAAAAATTTGAAAGTATTTTGTTTGTACTTACCAATGAAAGAAGTTCTGATACACTTATGAAGCTGAAGATTATTGTTATTGGTGCATAGTTCTTTAGATGATCAAGGTGGTGGTGGATGGTGTTGGGTTGACTGAATTGATCAATAGTGATGAGGTACCCTCAAAGGTTAAAGTGCTTGGGTCATTATATGATGAACCAGGTTCAGTGTGAGCTTTCTTGGAAGCATTCGCAAGTCTTCAATTCTTGTTTTCAAGAACCTGCATGTATATGCTCATCATCTCCTGAGTGTTAAACTCATTTAAGTGTTTCCATGAAGTCAAGAATGCCTTTCAAAATACTTCTTAACTTTTTCCATGTTGCCTTTTTTCCTTTTCTACTTCCTCGTTCATTTCCTCTATCACATCATTATCATTGTGATTTTGTTACTCTGGCATTTTTCTGTATCTACATCTATAATTTCACCATCAGTTAGGTTTAAAAGGGTTGGGACATCATCATTGCCTACCCACTCGTCTATTTCAGCTTGTAGTGTTTTTGTCACCAATTCAGCTCTTAATTACGGTGAATTAGTCATTCTTGACACAGGAGTTCCTCTTAATTTATTCTTTTTGCAATTTTTTTTTTCCCAAATCCTTTAAAGTTCTAGGATTTTTTCTAATCCCATCACAAGTAATATGCATTTGTGCATGCAAACTGCATTTGCACAGCACAACACAAGATATTATCCATTTGTTCAGCTTATAACCACCAAAAGGATCATCTCCATTTCTATGAGCAGTGTCTGTGGGTAACATACATCACCACAAACCAGTCTCATCAGCATTATAAATTTGCTCAGAAGATAAAATACACATATTGTTCTGAATCAGCAGCATCAGTTGACTGACTGCCATGTAATCTAATGTCATGACAGAATTTGAAGCTTCTAAGCCGTACATCAGTGTATAAACACTGGCCTTTTTTAAGAGTAACCAGCCTGACATTAGCTTTTTGATCTTTTCATGCTTCTGCTTGTACTAAACTCACACTGCATTATCAACATGCAGTACCTAAGCTTTATTCACTTTCGTTCTATTACGTATTGCTTTATCACTTTTACTTCTAGAAAAGTAGACAAAGATGGTAGATTTAGCCTTAAAATATCTGAGAGAAATCTTGCTCACTTGATATTCAGCACAAACAGCACTTTTTGGAATCCCACTCTCTACCTTCTTAATAAGTTGCATTTTTTCTCAAATGTCAGCACTGACTTCTTTCTCTTAGTTATCCTACTTGTAGAAGCTTTCACTGACAAAATACCTGCATTTGGAACCAATATGGCGCATGGATGTTCCTAAACTTTTTGGATATTGACAAAATCACAGGAAAGCAACCCTGTCCTAATAGCATGTCACATTTTGACGTATACAGTACTTTACTTAAGGACAAAAACTGTCGTACTAGAAAATGGTAGAGGCTTGCAAAAGTAACATACTCAGTAATCTCCTGTTTTCCATCTGTGGGTCCTCTGGGAGGTTAGGATAAGGCGCTTTAGTAGGACAATTTCTTGACAATGGGAACACTCATGAGAAAAGGCTGGGGACAGAATGCCCCAATGCCTCTTGAAAATTCATTGCAACGTACTGTGAACTTATGACATCACCTGGGTAGGAGGCACTCAAATGGTGCCCATAACAGTCACTGGTTCATCCCCTACCCACACACCCAATGCCTGGCATCTGTTCTATCTCACCACTTTGTCTCTCATTTTTATTTGGACCTGCTGAATATAAGAAAATTCACTTTCACAAACAGAGGGTAGACAGTTGGAACAAGTTAGGTGAGAATGTAGTGGAGGCCAAAACCATCAGTAGTTTCAAAGCATTATATGATAGTGCTGGGAAGATGGTACACCACAAGTGTAGCCCTCATCCTGTAACTACACTTAAGTAATTACTTACCTCTCCACTTTATCACTAATTTTATTCATATACAGTGGTACCCTCACTTACGAATTTAATCTGTTCCCAGAGACGGGTCGTAACTCGAAAATTCCTAACTTGAACAAATTTTCCCATACAAAATAATGTAAAATGAATTAATCCATTCCACACCCCCAAAAATATTAACTTAAAAATACATTTTATACCGAGTACCACTCTTTTTGTACTAGCTACAATACAGTATGTACTGTATATCTTACCTTCATTGAGGACATGTTGACGTATGGAAGATGGTGAGGAGGGGTGTTACTGTTTGGAAGGAGTCCCCCCTTTCATTATAACATCAGGCAGTGATGACTTCTCTGGGGTACTCTCTCTCCTACACTTTGCAAGCATACCACTAGGACCTGGTTGTGACTCACTGCTTGTTTTCCTCACTAAGAACCTTTCCATAG